ATCTACCCCAGTGTTTCTCAGCCTGTAACGAATCGTTGCCCCCTTCAATAAAACCGTTACGTAGTATCGCCCCTTCACTTCAAAATTCTGATGCCAAGGGCCAAGGCTAACGCCAAATTCGTACTGCATCGAATAGACTAGTGACTAGTATAATGTTATTTGTTTCATTATTGTACGATATAACAAATAAAATATCCAATTATTCTTAATATAATGTTATACTATATCGTTCAGAAAATTGTTTTTTGCCCCCCAAAATGTAAATTTGCACTAATCGCCCCTCAACATGGAAAAACGCCCATGTGGGGGCGATATCGCCCCAGTTGAGAAACACTGATCTACCCCATCATCTGCTTGAAAGAGTCTCATTTCTTAACTTGTACTTCAATGCATTGCATCTCATTTCATTTTTGTTTGTTTGATATCCTGAAAAAAATTGAATTAAAGCTAAACTTTACGTCAGATTATTTACAGACTATACCTTAAGGAAAGTTGAATTAATAATTGCAATTTTTAAGAATCCATTTTGAATATTTTTATTTAAATTGAATTTTGAAAATATTATCTTTGTTTCAACCCAGTCTCAAATTCTTGTTCAAACTGTTATTTATGTGGAGTCTGAGTTCCGCAATAAAAGTTCAATTTTAATGAAACTTGTATATATTAATGCTCTCGTTTAGTTCTATTTGTTTTTTTTTTCAGCCATCTTTAAGAGCTTCCTTATATCTACTATAACCATCTTGAAATATGCATAACATTTCTTTCTTAACTTTTAAAATTTCTCGAAATTGTTCTATGGCAAATATTTATACTTGAAGTTAGCATCAAAATTACTGCAGTGAAATTGAATACTCTTGGAAAACAGATTTGGTTATGCTGAAATTTTATATTGTATATCTGCTTAGGTACCATATGCATTACTATTTGCCAAGAGGCCCTCTTGAAAAATTATTGGGCCTCTTGGCTTATAGTTTAGAGAGAATTTAACACCCGAATATTTAAATTTATTCGTAATTTCCAGCAGTATTTCATTTAAGTAAAAATTCCTTTTCAATTACCGCATTTTCCACCATTTTGAAATATCATAACCTTTGACTTGCGTGGATTTATCTTTAACAAATTCTGTTTACGATAATTAGTAATTGGTTCATTTTGTTTTTGAAATGCCACTTTATTTGGAGGTTTTTATTTTTTTTTTTTTTGCCCTGTGAACACTAAGAGAAATAAGAAAGTAATTTAAAGATACAACAAAAGGATTTGGCAATCAACTTTATCCATCTCGGATATCTACATCACTGTTTACTCATGCACCATAGAAAATTAAGGAGAAGCTTGCATTGCGATTTCAGTTGCCACTTCTTACTTCCACACCATGCATACATTTGCCATTTGGTATCTCTGCTGTATTGTACAGAATATATAAGACTAATATTTTTTTTAATTCTGACATTTCATATCTTTGTAAATAAACTAGCTTTATTGTAATTATACATCATTCTTTTCTCTTTAATTTAATTAGTTAATAGTTTAAATAGTTAACTAATTAAAATTTATATCCTGTTTTGCAAACACTCTTTAATTATTAAATTATAGTTGTTTGTGTCGTTACTTTTTTGTGACGTTTCAGATGCACCAAAAAAAACGAATCACTATTATATGAGAGAAAATATTTTAAACAGAAATAAATTAACTAAATAATTAGAAAATTTACTATAAAAATGCATAATATTTACTTAGAGTTTTTTTGTTTTATTCATGCACTAATTGGGCTGTTTTTTTATACCTATTGGGGTGACTGAGCATGCAGTGGAATGACCATGTGACAAGGGATGAAACAATTACCTGGGGTGGCTCACCCACTAAACATTCCTGCAGTTTCTCCCACCAGACACTGTCCTGGATCCTCAGAGTGATAGGTTGAGGTCTTAATCGCCTCCTGTTAAGCCTCAAACATCTATTTCATCAATGATTTCTATTTAAAACTGTTAAAATATATGAACTTTGGATTCAGACTTGTTGAGTTTTAGATCAAGTATCAATCTCTGCTAACTCGGACTAATGGGAGGTGAAGGTTGTCCTGGTTAGAGGGATTTTTTTATTTACTATTACAGGATATGAGCTCAAAAATTTTATGACTACAGCAGTACAGTATACAGGAATATACAGTACAATCTTTAATAACTTACCAATTACAGTAACATAATGAGTGGTATTTCAAAGACTTCCAGATATCAAAAAGGTTCATTAATTATAATTTTTCTGTTGTCAACAAACTTTAGATTACTGTTTTAAAAACCTTTTGAGTTTGTAAGGGTTTGCTGTAGTTCATACAAGACTGCCAGCACCAAGTTAAAATCATCAAAAATTTGGTATGGACCTGGGAGTAGAGTGGACTTTTTTCACAAATGAAATATGTTAAGAATGTTTCCTTATTAATAAATTAGTCTTAAAAGGTTTTTTTGTTTTTAAAATTTACATTAATTTATAGGAACACTAAAGGTCCCTAAGTTTTTTCTGAGCCTGAGGAAATTCTGCAGCTTTTCCTTTGATGACCCTGGCTAGAAGTGCTGTATTGGCAACAGTTTCATAAGCAGAGACAGCAGAAATCAGTTAGACAAATTATTATCAAGTGGCACTGATAGTTGGCCCAAAGATACTTGCCTTAAGGTTGACCTCAAGGTGAAAGGTTACAACTCCCGTTTTGCCCGTGATTTGTCAGGATGATGCGAGAAAGCCTTTTTACGTATGGAGGTAGTGGTTTGCTGGACGCAAAGAGATCCACACAGAGACTGAAGTGACTAAATTTACATGTTTGTTTTAACAAAGACATCGTGCTTACAAATAAGGCTAAAGGATGTACTGAAGTTCTTCTGAGGAAAGTTCGTTTCAGATGATCCAGAATGTTTGCACCAGTCAGTGAGCATTCATTTGTCCTTTCAGAGATGCTCTGAGAAGATTCAGATGTGAGAAGTCCTGGAGCAGAGAAAACATCATCAGGAAGTTAAGTCCCTTGTTGCCCCTGTGCTCAGAGTCTTTAGGGTTTCTCCTTTGTTCTTCATTGGCATATCTGCAATGCGTCTATCCACAAGGATAGACGTTTTCAATCATAACCGCCTTGTGTCCTTCGAATCCCAGGCTTTTATATTATTTTCACCTTAAATCCAGACGTTTTGGTTGGTCCAAACGGTGGTCCCCTGTAACTTCATTGGTCCCTGGTCTGTTACCAGGGACATGATTCAGGCCACAGGATCAACAAACACCTCCAAAAAGGACCAGCCTCCTGGAGAGGGTGGCCCGGATGGGGCCACCCTCTCCCGGAGTCGGGTCAAGCCCTTCCCTGGGTGACAGTCCCGTAAATTTGGGTGTAATGTATCAGTATTTTCCTGACTCGAGGAAGGCACAGCTGGGTCCAATCAGTCCCAATCGTCTCCTCCTCTGAAAGAGGGTCCGCAAACTCCTGCTTTGAACTCTGTATAAGATTACCATCAATTTCTCTCCCAACTTTTCACGATCTACAATCAAGGATGTGTCAATTTGGTCCGGGAATGCAACAATTAAATCATCTCACACCACGTTCCTTTGCCACCCCAGTCTTGTTTGCAAAATAAGTTACCAATTTATTGGCCTTGACTCGACAGCCAGCTTCTCATCAGGGGGTAATGTCCCAGCCTCACAAGTTTATGAAAATTATGTCACTTTTCCTTTTATTCTGTACCCGATTATTTGTTAATAAATGATCGAATACAAAATATATGTACCTAATAATGTAATAATTTCAAAAAATATACATATTTTATAATTGTGTTATATTGACTTACACAAATTGTATGATAATATAATTAAATGCTAGAGCAACGGTTCCCAATCTTTTTCGGGTGGCGACCCCTTTTTATAAAAGCCAAGTGACCCGCGACCCCGATACTATTGAAAAAGACATTTTTAATAAGGTAATTAAAAAAAACAACGAAATTAGTTTTTTACTATAATTTTATTTTAAATTATGTCTAATAATTTAATGCGATTGTTGAAATTGTATGTTATTAACCAGCCTTAAAATTCACGGGTGAGTTTTTGTTAACGCCAACATCATGTCATTCTCAACATTTAATTTATTTTTCTCAAACTCTCAACACATGATTCAACCAACTGTGACAGAATAGCGTACCTAGATTACACTTATTTTAATTTTTAAAAAATACAGTCGACCCCCCCAATAACACAATAGATACGTTCCGTTTTTTATGAAATTAATGTTTTAGGAGACCTTGCCAATCACAGCCCGACACGTGTGAAGTTTACGGACTACGGGTGTTTGAAAGGTTTTCTTCCATAAAATTAATCGATTCCTAGACTAATTCGACTCAACATTTCCAAAATACGTATATTTTTTGGGGAATAATCTGTATAAACTATGCTATAAACAAAAAATTGTAGGATTACTTACCGAGTGTGCACCGTTCGACGTCGCCATTGCTTAAGCTTGTTTTCGTCGCGGAGCAGCGCACCAAACGGCGGCCGCGTTTTCTGATAAATTATTTTTCTGCGAAAACTTCGTTGAACTTTGGAGACATCATTAATATAAATAATTTTTATGGCCGTTGAATAAGAAATGTTTCTTTCACAAGAAATGTATAAAATTACAGTACTGTATTAGACTTACGGTACCTAATTTACATACTGTACAGACGATAGTAAACTCAACTTACTCGCCTAAACTCTCCGTAGCGTGGTGCTGGACGGCGGAAAGTAGTTTGGCTGCCCGATGACGTTTTACCGAATTATAGGAGTTTTTTTTACCATGTTTATACGGACACCGTCGCAATTTTTTCGCCGTCATATAGGAATCCGAACTATAGGAACCCGTGTTATAGGGGGATCGACTGTATATCAAATTATTCAAACTTCAAGACACCATTAAAAATAAAAATTGCATTATAGTGATTTTTTTTAGTTAACTGTATAAGTTGGCGACCCCACAGAAAGCCCGTTGCGACCCCCTTCTGGGTCGTGACCCATAGGTTGGGAACCCGTGTGCTAGAGGATGGTGCCATTGAGCTGTAGAAACAGAATATAGTATAATGTAATGTTAGTATAGTGTGTATAGTATAATGTAGGACTTTTCATCCTACAGATACTAGAGGAGCTTTTTTATGATTATTACGAGTCCGACTAGGCCCGTAATGGGATATATAGGGGTTAGCGATGAGTTTCAATGTATCCAGGTCAAAATATCTGTAAAAATTTCAGGATTTGACCTAGGTTTCCACAAAGTAGGTGGGTGCCTTTACTATCTATGTAATCTGGCCATCAATAAGAGCATTAAAAACACTTTTGTTCATCTTTAATAATAATATATATTATCTACAGGATGGTTATAATTAAATTAATCCTTATCAGAACCCAGTTCTAATGAATATACATTAATGAAACTTGTTTTCTACAGTAACTTGCATAACATTACAACATTACTTGTTCTTGAAGTGCCATATTTTTGTCTATTGGTGAAAATTTGAACTAATTTTTGTTTCCCAGAGATTTATTGTGAATAGCACATATACGAAGTTTCATTGGCACAGGTCCGAGTATGGTCGGTTTAATAACTGTCATATATAAGATATAAGCGTTGTTATCAAAATTAACTGTTTTGTAGATTTATGTAAAGACAGTTGTCTTTTTCTCATTTTAAAGCAAACTTTAGTTATTTGCTGCATTTTTTAAATCAAATATTAAGAATTAAAACTTACTTTCACGTAGTTTCAAACCTCGGAGAAATCTGCAAATTTAAAGAACAGTGTTTAGTAAATGACGCTCATACGGAATGTATGTACTCCAGTAATCCGGAAGTATCTCATCACGTCTGCAGATGTGCCACCGGTTATGAGAAAGGATATTCTAACGGGAAAGAAAAATGCATTCGAGGTATTTTTTTTAAATTGTATTATTACATGTCTCCGAAATAATTGAATTCAAAACATGAGATTTCTTCTAGTTTATCGGACGACCGTGTACGAGAAGAATGCCAAAATTTTACACTTTTTTGGAAATGGTGACAGTGTCCCAATTATAATGAGCTGTCTGGCTGCCTTTTTGGCACTGTTTGCTTGTTTTGCCGGAATATTTCAATTCCTAAGGTATCCATAGTTTTAATACAATACTTTTTTAAATCAGTTTAATTGTTATTTTTAATATGTAGTTATTGGCAGTAAATAATAAGATACAAAATTTTTATGATAGGCGAAAGCAAACTAGCAGAAGCAGCCTGAGATGTGGAGATCCCCAGCATCCTCAGGAGGTTGTGACGCTTAACGGCTCGACCCCGACACAGCCGTATCCGTCGTCCGACATGTCTCCGTCTCGTACGCCAGATTCGCTAGGTCAACAAATTAATTTAATTCTTTCAGAATACTCTACGTAACAAATCTGTCTTCTCTCAGTTACAAAGTTTATTTTTATTTTATTTTTTCAGAATCTGTTGATTTAAGTTTGAATTTATGTTACTGGTTTAATTCAGAATTTTATTATTATATTTTGAGAAGCTTATTTTGAACGTTTTGATTGGTAAGAGAATGTTCTCTTAGTAGTTTTTTTATTTATTTATTATTATTTTTTGTTTATACATAAATAACTATCACGTCGTCATTGCATTTACATTCCGACAACAGAAAATATAATATTTTTATATAAATTAAAAATTTATTTACAGAATTTGCACCAAACTCGACAATTGCCGATTCGTTCATTCCAGTGGAAGCTTGCCAGAACGTAAGTGAATTTATTTGGTTTATTATACTGTATTTTATATTATATATTTTAAAAATGCTTTTATCAATCATATCAGTTAGTCCATGTGTAATAAAATACATATACAGGTCTAGTTAGTGATAATATATATAAATAGTTTCTTGGCATTGAATTATTGTCCAAAAAAAGTAAAGATTCTTTTCACATACCTTAACATATAGACTCAATTTTGATTATTGCAGCATATAGAGAAGGATGGAGTAGCTAGTATTGCAGTCACAACTGTAATGCTTATGACAAAGATAGATGGAATTGTAAAGATCTGGAGTGGATAATACAATGACAATACAAGCACAATTTTACCCTATTTTGTGGAATATCAAGCACTTTATTGCTGAAGTTATCTTGATTACTCACTGTTATCATTCTGTAATATTGACAAATATTCATAAACAGAAGAGCGGCTTTGAATATCATTTGTTTTTGATGCTACAATATTTATAATGGTTGTAAATTTTGATAATGCATAATATACAGTGAAATCTCTGAAGACTACCCTCAATATGACTGGTTTTTGGACCATATAGCCAATGCAATATGATCGATCCCCTTTGAAAGAAATCTCTTTACTTGATCAATAACTAGGCTATATTTGGGATCTAATCTGCTTTTCTTCAACAAATTAAAGCAGAGGTTTAAAAGAGGTATCGTAAGCGTGCAGTGATGGATACAAGAAAATACCATTGACACAAAAAACAATTAAAATTTATGTATTTGAACTTTGAAATGTCATTTAACTTATACAGTGGTTTATCAGACTATCTACAATACAATCATCTTGTGTTAATAAAAGGTACTTATTAATTATTCAAATTAATTTAACCTCGCAATGGATCAATTACTATGACGTGTATACCGTGAATAATTCAAATATCATGCCATATTCAAATTCATTTGTTATCAACAACATAATGTTTAAGATATTGAATCTCTAATACTCCTAGTATTTGAGTATTTGTAGATAGTATTGGCTCATCTCTAGTTGTAACCACTCTTTCCTTCACTGAAGGAATTTGAAGGGATTTCTTAATTACTGTATTTAATTTTAGTGAGTTTAGCGATTAAGTAAAGTGAAACTGTAAAATTGCAATGACAATTGGCAAAGGAATTTAACTGTGAGAAGACTCAATCCAACCAATTCTTGCCAATAAGGAACTTTATCTTGATAAGTGGAAAGCAAATACAAAAGAGAACAATAACAAGAAGACATATCAAATCAAATGAAGATGTCAACAGATCAATTCTGGAGTAGTTCAGTTGCAGTTGAGCCAAAAGCTTTTTGCCAGAACCAATGCTAGAAATGAAATGACTTTAGAGTTTGCCACAGAACTTGGTGTTTAGATCTTTTGTGCCATCGACAAACAACTTGGTAAGTTTTGTCTGTGCCACAACATTGTTTATGGCCACTAGACAGATGGACAAATGGTTAAGGTCAACTACTACCACTCTGGAGGCCCAAGGATAAATCTGGAAAAGTCAAAAAAATTCCAGAAATTTTACAGAAGGTGAGCCATCCTGGATAGTTTGGGCTCCATTCTTCACTACCCAGCCTTAGATACTCTTAATGCCTACAAGGTGGAAAGAATTAAAAAAAAAGCCACTAGATTATGGATTTTAAATGTATGTATGACAATACTTGCATTTAAAATCCATTATTGATGCAGTCACTCATTGCCAAGATATGCAAAATGATGTCCCTGCACAAGATAGGAAAAAAATAGTCATTATCAGTGATGCCATAGGCTGGATTAAAGACACAACCATAGGTTCTAATGATACAGAAAACTTGCCATCAAAGCCTATCCTGACTTTTAGTCAATTGGTGAAGAAATGCAGTGCTATAATGAAATGGTAACTGGAAACAGATTATTTTTGAAATTATCCACAAGAAAACAAGACTGAGACAATTGAAGCCATTGAAGAGTACTGTACGATATAAGCAGTGCTTCCATTGAACCATACTTGCCAGAACCATTGAACCAGATGTTCTTACAAGTCTTGCTAAAACATAAAGCTTTAGGTTATGAACATGACAATTTGGTTGGAGTCGACATGCTAGACAAAGTTCAAAACAGTATGAAAACAAGATTGTTTGAAAGTGCATAAAAATAGTAAAACAAACATCAATTCTGAATGAAGCAAAAGAAAATTTTATCATTTACATTTACGAATTTATCTTTGGATGTACAGCCAATCTTTATGCCGTTGTCAAATTCAGATAAACTTCACCAATGGCTTATTTGACATCACAGACAAAGTTTACGGCAGAGTTTGAGCTTCGTCTGTAATGTTGAGTAAAACACTGTTGAACTTTGTTGATTTCATATACATAATATAATATTGGATTTTGAACTAGTATCATTTATAACAGGAAATAAAATATTTAAAATCTTTGTTATACAAGTGCACATTGTACAATGCACATGTATTTTTTTTTAATGCATTCATTACTGTATAATTGTCTGCAATGTCAATAAAATGCATTTATTTTCTGCGCCACAGTTTTCATATATCATCAGAATGTGAATTTCCTTTGGAAGAGGCTTACAAAACAATTGTTCTTAATCATTCTTACTTGTTCTTAGTTTTGATGGTTGCAGAAGTTTCACTGTTACATTTGCTAAACTTAATATAAAATTAAAGAATGCGTCATTCCTTACTTGAACTTTAAAAACTTAACATAGAAATATAACAAAGACAAAGTTACAAAATTCAAGTTATGAAAGAAAATATATTATAAAATTATTACATAACGTGATTATTGATGGATATGACTAGCAATATATCAAAAATAAATGTAAGTACTCGTTTTTGTTAGTGTCGTAATCAGTTTTTTTGTCGTAAGCTGTATTAACTAGTAAGTGTCTACACTTTCTATATGTTGGCCAGTAATTTAAAATGCTAGAGAAGAGACTTTTATAACACCCGTTATTATGACATGACTGTAAATTGATTGATGATGGAAACTTTAAAAACTCGTTCATAAAAAGCTCTGTGCTTTAATACACTGTCGGTTATTATGATTGATGAGCGGCAGTTTGATTGATGATACGATTAGGTGACAACAAAGCTATATCTGTATGGCTACATTTGATAAAATAGATATTTATGAATAAATTTTATTCTTCTCTTATAATAAAAACAATGGCTGTTTAAGTTTTATGTTATTACTTGATTGTTCAAGGTAAATTCTTTGAATTCATACATACATTGTATTGATTATCTAGTGAAGTTCAAAGTTTCGAAACTGATTGTATTGATGCCATGCCATGCAATTTTTAAGTTGATAAAGTCTCTAAATTAAACAAAACAGTGTGTACAATTGTTCGAAAAGGACTGTTTTTTGCAATTAAAGCTGCAACCATCATCCGATTTAATTATTTAAATTGATGGATGCTATCATTCTAAACACAAAAACATCATGAAAGAAAATAACTGTACATTTGCTAATTACAAAATACCAATGCACTTAGTTATTGCATTTTAGGTCTTAAATCCATAAATTTCATTTACGGTGACAACGTAGACTAAAGAACTTATTTTATTTTTTTATTAGGACTTTCCACCAAGTTACGAAGAAGTCGTTAACAGCACAAAAGTAACAACGATCCAAGAAGAGGAGGAGGATGAAGACGAAATCGAGAACGACAGAGACGTTGCAACACCGCGAGGTCAAAATGCAATCCGACAGAACATATAATTTCGTGACTACGTCGAAAGTATGTATAAGCCAAATATGTTAATTTCTAGCTGACTTCGGAAACTTCAGGTCAGAGGTCATTATAATTTAAACGACTAAAATGCATATTTATCGTCATTTATATCGGTATTAACAAAAGGAGCTTTTCTAGTTTCCTAGTTGATTTTAAAATCATAAAGAAAAAAAAAACAACTCAGTACACTCAAAATACACAGTAACACAATTGAGTACGACTAAACAAGTCTTAAATTACCACACCGGAATTCACTGACACTGGGCAATACTTTTTATGTATTCCAAATTGGAAAAAGGTTATTTCGTATTTATTTACGCAGGCATTACATGTGTACATTTGATATATTTTTAGAAACTAAGTAGGTGCCTTGTTTTAAATTTTGTCATTAAGTTCACATTTCGGCAACAGTAACAAAATTTTAAATTTAGCTACGGGTATACTTTTAAAACTTTCAAACGCCTGTAACTTACGCCACACCATCCAGTAAACTTCAATATGCAAATCTGTATAACTTATTGTCAGAAAATAATTCCTGCCCAATTCAATTTCTATATCTGGAATATAATAATAATACTAGAGCAGTAAAAAATATATATATATATATAATCGTATACAAATATATATTCTAGTTAGAAAGTAATTATTGCTATATATATAAATATTTGAATAATATATTGCATTTGTACAAAATTTTAAAGCAAATTTAATGAATTTATTTGCTACCGAAAGAATATTTCTTTTTAGATTTCTTTTATATTGATTTTAAAATGAGAGCATAATGCAAATTTTACTGTCTGCATAACGTATTTTCCTTTTATAAACAATTATTTATCGTAATCACTGTCGTCACAGATTGTTATGGTAAAAGAAGAATGCAATTTGCTGCCTCAAAATAGCATCCTACATTTGGGATTTTGTGTTTAGTAGTGTAGCAAGTTCTGTAAACCATACAAAGTGTTCCAAAAATAACATCAAAACAAAAATAATTATTTGGGTGTAAAATGTGGAGGAGTATTTTTACTGTAGTATATACATAACTAGAAGAAATCTTAAATAATAAAACTCAGTCATCAAATGTTAAGGTTACCTTAATAATTGTTATTGGTAACTATGAGGGGTGGTTTCCTTTGTAATAATTAATATAAACACTAAAATCATATAGTTGAGATTATCCCATAATCTCAACTATACGATTTCAGTGTTTATATTAGAAAAAGATAGCCTTAACAATAATTAAGACTATTTAAACAATTTAAAATTTCCCTTAGAACAAAGAGAAAAGAAAGAAAAACAAAGCACTGAATTTTCTTTCTTGTTGTTTGGATATAAAATTCGTCTGTGTTGCACGTAGACAATAATTGATACATTTTGCTTATTTTTTACAAGTTTAGAAAACTGCGGATTAAATGACATTTTTGGACTAATTTATAAAAGCTATTATAGAATTTCATTATAATTTCAATGTACGGTGTGTACGTTACGTAGAACTAGATTAGCATTTGATGGAAAAAAGTAACAAATGACCGGCATAAAACATTAAGGTAGGAACAATGAAAAATACCAAATGGGAAATCTTTTATTTGACTCAGGAAATGAAATCCGACATTTTTATTCTTTGTTTGAATGCATAACAGTTGAAGAATAGATAAAAGTTCTATACCCAACAATGCAGTTGTCCATCATTTTAGATAAAATTCCGACGTAGTAGGAAATTCTGTCTTGCAGCCGGTCGTGCAATTTGAAATTGCACATTGAAAATTCCCACAAGTCGAGGTGTTTCAAATTTGTATGGTTTACTTTCCCGGACGTACTGCATTGGAATTAAAATGACGGGTGAGTGCAACATTTTATCAGGAATAGTATTTGATGATATAATTATAGTTCACTATTTTTCTTTAAACAACAAAGACCTTTCATGTATCGTCTACATCACTTCTGTGGATAATACAAACACTATAATTTTAACGTTTGTCATATTGAAACTTAAAAATTCCATCATTCTTATGTTGCTTTTCTAAGATATTTTAGAACTGCCTCCCGAGAGTCTCGCTTGAGCCTTTCCTCTCTTGCATCGTCTGTGGTAACGTATATGATACGTGCTTTATTGTTGCTAGCCGTGTGCCAAAAATTCCACCGTCTAATTAAAAAACACCACTCCTCCATATTTTACACTTATTTTTGAAGAAACATTGTTTCCATTTACATAACATCTATACAAATTTTAAAACAAGCTGAAAAAATTGTTGTTCTTTAAAATTTAAACATGTCACATTTTTATACATTTTAAAAATATATAAAAAGGAAAATAAAATTATATCAATCTGTTATTCTTTAATTCTTAAAAGCTTATTATAATATACAGAAACTGTTAAAAAAAATAACGGAAGAGGGAGGGAGATGCCTTCTAAGATATTTTTCTTCCTTTGAATTTTCCGACGTAAAATTAATAGCGGTTTCCAACCTTCTTTCGGAGCTGTGGCACAATTTATTATTGAATACTTTATTACCAAAATGGAAGGTGACGGTGGATCTCTTTTCTTTGATAGTTTACTGGCACAAACTTCCGAAAAATAGGAGTAATTTTTGTAAAAATTTGTACCTTTATGTCACTAATTTTTTTTTACTCATCTCGCAGCGCATCAGTCAGGAGTTTCTAATTTCTCTTGTAAAGATGAACAAATTACTAAAGTTAGGATTTCTCTCTCTTTTGGCCGAAGAGAAATCAATAATTAATATAGATAAGATAGTAGTTAAATTATATTGCGAGTTGATATTTTAAATCGCTCGTTAAAGTTAACGTCATCGCAAATGCACATTAATATCTAACAAAGACGATAACTTTTTGGATTTGAGAGCCAACGAATAGAATAGAATATCTAAGAAAAATGGTGTATGATGGATAGCAATCTTTATTTTGCAAATTAAAGTTCTTTGTAGATTAGAATGTTCTGTATTGTATTTCATTTTGCTAGATCTAGTCGTATAAAAGTTATATATAAATTGCCAAGTGATTGAGGATCCATTTTGCTAAAAAAACATACTTCAAGCAGCTGCCTCTTGACCATTGCTTTTTGTTTCCTGACACTGTGTTAAAATGTCTCTCGTTTACTTGTACGGATTGTGCGAAATATATTAGCGTTACTGATTAGTTATTATAAATTAAATCGCCGTAGCCTTGTATAGTTATTAACATATGCAATTTTTAGAGAACAGATATATTTTTAAATAGAATTTTGAGATATATTCTGTGTGATTTCCTCTCCTCTTTTAGTAATAGACATGTAACAATATTATTATTATTCTCACTTTTGTGAATAATCTGCAAGATTTTAGGAAGAAATTTGTAAAATTATCAAGAGTACAAATTTAAGACCTACAAAAACGTACGGCAGCGATCGACTTGTACAATTACGATTTCCGATGTTTAAATTATTTTACTGCCGTTAACATGTGTCGCTCAACGTTTGAGTTCTAAAGTAAATTATTACTAAGAATGTAACTAAGAACGTGAATTTTACATTCAAAGTTTTTCCATGTTTTTGTTGCTTTTGTTATTGTTATTAATTGTATGGACTGTCTTATGATTTGTCTGAAACATTTCAACATATGTATGTATCTACATGCTTCATAAACTACCATTTGTTTAAAATGTATATAGTACCACATATTGTGGCATCTAAACATTGAATTTTACAGTCATTTATATATTCACTACAAATAAGAAGAATGCTACAACTTAAATCTTCATCTGTATTATAAAAAAAAAATTCCACAATTTTATTCTTAATATTTGATGTATAGCATGTGACTTAGAAAAGTAAATAAAGATTTCAGAAACCACGTACCACATGAGAGTTATTTCAAAAAAAACTAACAGTCGATTTTTAATCTACGGCAACTCGTTTGCATTTTGATAATGCTTATGAGGGTTTATTTGAAAAATACTGAGCAAACCTGTGAAGTTGCACTTAAACACTATGTAGTTCCTCTGAAGTATGATGCACTTTTTCAGCTTTTCAGANTGCTTTTATCAATCATATCAGTTAGTCCATGTGTAATAAAATACATATACAGGTCTAGTTAGTGATAATATATATAAATAGTTTCTTGGCATTGAATTATTGTCCAAAAAAAGTAAAGATTCTTTTCACATACCTTAACATATAGACTCAATTTTGATTATTGCAGCATATAGAGAAGGATGGAGTAGCTAGTATTGCAGTCACAACTGTAATGCTTATGACAAAGATAGATGGAATTGTAAAGATCTGGAGTGGATAATACAATGACAATACAAGCACAATTTTACCCTATTTTGTGGAATATCAAGCACTTTATTGCTGAAGTTATCTTGATTACTCACTGTTATCATTCTGTAATATTGACAAATATTCATAAACAGAAGAGCGGCTTTGAATATCATTTGTTTTTGATGCTACAATATTTATAATGGTTGTAAATTTTGATAATGCATAATATACAGTGAAATCTCTGAAGACTACCCTCAATATGACTGGTTTTTGGACCATATAGCCAATGCAATATGATCGATCCCCTTTGAAAGAAATCTCTTTACTTGATCAATAACTAGGCTATATTTGGGATCTAATCTGCTTTTCTTCAACAAATTAAAGCAGAGGTTTAAAAGAGGTATCGTAAGCGTGCAGTGATGGATACAAGAAAATACCATTGACACAAAAAACAATTAAAATTTATGTATTTGAACTTTGAAATGTCATTTAACTTATACAGTGGTTTATCAGACTATCTACAATACAATCATCTTGTGTTAATAAAAGGTACTTATTAATTATTCAAATTAATTTAACCTCGCAATGGATCAATTACTATGACGTGTATACCGTGAATAATTCAAATATCATGCCATATTCAAATTCATTTGTTATCAACAACATAATGTTTAAGATATTGAATCTCTAATACTCCTAGTATTTGAGTATTTGTAGATAGTATTGGCTCATCTCTAGTTGTAACCACTCTTTCCTTCACTGAAGGAATTTGAAGGGATTTCTTAATTACTGTATTTAATTTTAGTGAGTTTAGCGATTAAGTAAAGTGAAACTGTAAAATTGCAATGACAATTGGCAAAGGAATTTAACTGTGAGAAGACTCAATCCAACCAATTCTTGCCAATAAGGAACTTTATCTTGGTAAGTGGAAAGCAAATACAAAAGAGAACAATAACAAGAAGACATATCAAATCAAATGAAGATGTCAACAGATCAATTCTGGAGTAG